TTTTGTTGCAAATTTGCCGTTGCAAAAACCATTGTTGCAGATTCCTTTTTGCAACGGATATTCCGTTGCATTAGCATTGCATCGGAAAATTGCAACAGAAATTGTCGTTGCAAGTATTTGCAACGGGAATTTGCAATGGAAATGACATTGCTAACTCCTGCTACGGAATTCTTGTTGCAACGTAATGCAACGGAATTTTTCAACGACTTTTTAGTTGCATATTATTGCAACGCCAAATTGCAACCGAAATGTCATTGCTAAGAGCTGCAACAGAAATTCTGTTGCAAGATGATGCAACCGAACTTCGCAATGCCTTTTTCGTTGCATAATATTGCAACGGGAAAATGCAACCAGTATTCCATTGCAATATTTGCTGCAAAAAAATAGTCACGTTCAATTGCAACAAACTATTTCGTTGCATAAGTTAAAAACAACCAACACATGATCAAACTACGTTCACCCTCAGGTTTGCGCAAGATTAACCATCAAATAAATGTAAGGAGTATCCTCAAATTAAACATAATATAACACATATGTAATCCACAAGATAAGAGTTTCAATTCAATATTTTTCATATTCTAAAATAAGAGTTAATGTACCTGTCACACAAAAAAATGTCTATTGTTTTCTATTTAAAAAATTAAACCATTACACTAACATTGAGGTGCACTTCCAGCACCATCTCCTCCGTCCTCTCTACGGGGCAAGCGATCTCCAAACAATCTATGCATCTCTTCCATGATTGTTTAGGCAATAGGTTCACGAAGCATCTGGATAATATCTCCCTTGAGAGATTCTACGATAGACGGTTGAGAGGCAGCATATGACGCATGGTCTTGGACATCTTTCCTACACCAAAGACACGTTTTTTAGCATCATGTCCATCAACTGAGGCATAGTACAACTCCTCCTTGAATGCTTGAACATTATCCCATTGTGTGACTAGCTCCATCGCATCATATGTCGCCTCTATATAATATTACAAAATGTGAATAAAATCAATTAGAACAAACATACAAATTACATAGAGAAATAATATTTCTACATATAAAACATTTCAAATCATTCATAAAGATTGAGCTATAAATCTAAAATACAAAATACTAGGGTTATGTTAATGTTACCATGATCACCGGTTCAAATCTAGAAATTTATAAAATCAAAGCTATAAGATAGATAGTAAATTTATAATTTTAAAAAAGCACAGCTAGAAAGAAATATCAAACACTTGGTGACATTTACTACCAATTAATAAAAAGAACAGAGCTTAGACTTTAGATAATAAAATTTGACATGTATATATATACACACATATATAAGGATGTATGTGCGATGAAATTTCACTGACCGCTACTTCTCGTGATTTCTCATCAATGAACGTTACTTCATCATGCTTCTTTGTCTTTGTCTCCGATTCTCACCTCCTGTCTTAATCTGCATTAAATTAGCTTTTGATAAATAACTGAAGTTCACATATATGTTATTAATAACCAAACAACATTTGTCTTAATAAATACTAATGCTCACAACTTTGGTGAGATTTTCTCGAAATGATAAAGGACCACCAGTATACGTCCCTGTTGCACATTTATCTAGGCTGCCTTTTCGCCTATTCTTCTTTCCTTGTTCAGATTTTTTTTTTGCTCATCACCACTCCAATCCTATATGCAAATCAAGAAATACAAGTTAATTTAAAACATGTCTAGTGAATACTCTAAAATCAATTCATAAACAAGTTTTAATTTTAATAATTAGAGTCATGTACAAATGATGCTAAAGAAAGTTATTACCCCAACTAATTCAGTCCTATATGCTAAAACAGTATGTACAAATGATGCTCATGAGGTTACTTTTGTAGCATTATTTTGTTTTCAAGCATGATTTATTTTCTTTGGTGGAGGGCCCAATGATTTATTTCCTTTGTTGACTAACAAAAAGGATAAGTAAAGGACTGGGAGTAGGTTGGAAGAGACTTACGAAAAACAGAGAGCAAGAAGAAAAAAAACAGAAGAGAGAGAGTGAGAAGGGCTGGTGCAGAATTTTCAGACCAGCCGCACAAATCCGATCATCGCCGTAGATCCGACCGTTGGAATGAGCTGAAATTTTCAGAGGTTGTTCCCAACACTTAGGGCTTCAATCTGTTCAATTTTCACATCAATCGGAGCTACGGATTTTCTTTAATCGCAGCTGGTGCATCGCTGTGTTTTTGGGTGATATCTCTGATTTTTCTTCTCCATTGTTGAATTTAAAATATGCAACACATGAAACACATAAACAACAACCAAAATAACAAAAACTTCATGCTACACATAAACAAAATAGTTGTGAAATTTCATAAACTTTTACCTTTTCCCAAGCTTTCATGATATCTTCGTGGGTCTCCATGCTACGCGCCCCGTTCTAATGTTGGACGTCATGTTCCTATACCGCTCTGCTGCCCTATCAAGCCATTCATTATAGATTGCATCCTCTAATAGCCCGCTGGGCCACCTACAATGCTTCTACAAAAGTTTGACACTCAAAAGAGTCATAAAGTTGTTTACACATATATTGAGAGTTGTATTCA